CCTGCCTCCGCCTCCCGAGTGCGCCACCACCGCCCAGCTGACTTCTTTCTTGAATGTTCTTGTGTCTTTTCTTTTGTTGGGTCCTTGTCTCCTGGACCCTACACCTGTCTCTTTCTTCATTTAGCCTTTTATCTTGCAAGAACACCCATATCGCACTATCTCCTATGAAAAGGGTCCATGGGAAGGAACTGTTCTGTCTCTGCATGTCTGGAAATCTCTTTTCCTGCTTTCTGCTCTGCTGTTTTTTGCTTGCTGGCCACATTATCCATTTGCTTTAGAAGTTTATGTCTCCTCTTTTCACTACAGGAAGGTTTTGTGTGTTTTATTATTCTCGCTGCTGGAGATAATTTTGAAAAGTAAAAGGTGGTAATGAGATGGCTTTTCCGCCTGGAACTCTGAAACATCCTTCTCACTGCTTCGTGTATATGGGTGGACAACACTTTTCTCCCATGCTTGTTTAGTCTTCTTATTTCTGCTGGTGTAAATTATCTGCTAATATCCTTCAATGGACCAGCTTGTTAGCAATTAGCACACAGCATGGGAGATGTTGGCTGCTTTTTCTCACTTGTCTGCTCTAGGATGTGTCTAGCTGATGGATCTGCCCTTGTTTCCAGATTGCCTCACACCAGTGGTGGCTGTGAACATCCTCACCCTGCAGGAGGTCCCCATCGTTATCAAGGCCAAGGATGACTTAGAAGGTTCTCTAGATTCAAAAATAGGTATGTTGCTGTTTAGATGTCATCCCATGCTAATGCATTATGCGGGTTTAAGGGCAAAGGGCTCACAGTTCTTGCTGTCACTTAGAGGAGTTTACCATTGATTCTGTGATGGGTTTTGCCTCTTAATGAAACTTGTGTCCCCTTTTCTTCGTTCTCTTTGGAGCTGAGGATCAAATCTAGGGCTTCACACATTGCTAGCAAAGCAATTTACCATGAGCTGCAACTCCAGTCACTTATCTTCTATGTAATCATTATTTAGTTAAGAACTACGAATTCAAAAGCATGGTGGTACACACTTGAATTCCTAGCATTCAGGAGCCTAAGGTGGGACAATCACAAGCTTAAGGTTTTTTTTTTTTTTTAAATGTATTTTATGTGTATGAGTATTTTGCCTGCACGTGTGTCTGTGTACCATTTATATGCCTTGTGCCTTTGGAGGTCAGAAAAAGGAATCAGATCTCCTGGAACCGGAGTTACAAATTGTGAGCTGTCATGTGGGTGCTAAGAACTGAACCCAGGTCCTCTATAAGAACAACAAGTTCTTTTAAACTGCTGAGCCATCTCTCCAATCTCGTATTACAAGTTTAAAGCCATACAACATGGTAAAACACATCTTTAAAAGGCAAAAGCAAGCATACAAACAACAACAACAAGAAACCCTGTGTATTTGAAAGCATATTGTGGGGATGGTGAGACAGCTCAGTGTGTAAAAGTGCTTGCCACTCAAGCCTGTCAACCTGAGTATAGTTACCAGAACCTGATCAGGGAAGTTGTCTTCCAGGTGTTCCCATGTGCCTGCACACAAACATATACACACACTAATAATAATAAATAAAACAATTTTTAATTTTTTAAAGCATATTAGGTATATCATGCCTTCCTGGTTGCTATTGAGTATTTAAAAAGCCCAGGCTCATGGATCATGAGTTAGTTTTGAAGACTTGGACACATGATATGGGAGATAATACAACACAGACTAAAAATCTAATTTCAAAATCCAAGTCAGGTTTAGTGACTCAGTCCCAGTGCTAAGAAGCCTGAGGCAGGAGAATCTTGCATCTGCAAATGGTTGTAGGATACCATAAGATCCTGTCTCACAAAACCAATCCAAACCAAACAAAATAAAACTCACAAAACTACCAGCAAGTGTAGAGACAGGAGTTCCAAGTACATCTGATCCATATAGGCTAGGCTTTAGCATTGTGGAGGAGGCTAATCTGAACTACCCAAGAAAGAGTCATGAAGCAGTAGACAGAGGCATAGTTAGAAGCAGTCTTATTCGTAAGTAATCCTCATCCATTGTCCTGGAACAGGAAGGGGACCTAATGACAGTGCTATCTAAAATCTGCCTTCAGAACATACCGATGCTCCTCTCACCTGTTTCCTGTGGGAGATCACAGCTATGCTGCAGAGTAGCAGGCCTTTGTTATGATGTTACTATAGATCGATAGATCACGTTTTCCATGTTGCTACAAACATGCAGAGCAAGTAACATTTCGTATTGGAATGACCTCAGGTCAGTTTGTGAAGTGTTTTTAAGAGGTTTCAAAGCAGAAAGCCGCCACTGAGCATTCGGGTTACTTCTGACCATTGTAACCATGCATTTTATAACTAGTAAGATGTTTTAAACAGCCAGCCAGAGTAAACAGGGAAGAGAATCTTGATATGGCTGTTTGGGGCAGACAAGGGGGTGTTTGACATTTTGGGCTAAATCACTGATGCAGTATTAAAGTTCTAAGGATTTGGATGTTTTTAAGTGAGCATGGGAAGTTGTTTTTCTGTTGTCTTGATTTCCCTTAGTTGTGTAATTAGTTATTTCTAAAGTGTTGTTTCTGAAACCTTCTAAGGACAGAAGCAGAAACACGTAAAAAATAAAGCAGAATTTTCACCATCCAACCTGCACAGTTAGAATATGTCATATTTTAGAGTTCTCTTCTTTTGTTGTTGTTTTTTGTTTTTCTAGACAAGGTTTCTCCATGTAACAGCTCTGGCTGTCCTGGAACTCACTTTGTAGACTAGATTGGCTTTGAACTCACAGGGATCCACCTGCCTCTGCCTCCCAAGTGCTGGGATTAAAGGTGTGTACCACCAGCACCCGGCCTAAAGTACTCTTTGGACTGTCACTGAGTCACCCTAAGCTGGACAATGAAAATTTGGTGAATGACCATCATCTTCCCTGTGACTGTAAACACTTGTTGATACTTTTTGCCCTGCATCCTCACCCCTCAGTCCACTGACATTCATTCACTTGACTTGGTGCTTCTTGTCACAACTCAGTTGGAAATGACACAGCTTTGCACCATACTGTGGAGCTTTAGACATGTCTCTAGACCTTAAGCCCCGCCTCTGGAACTCTTTTGCAGAAGAGCTAGCTTAGCCTTTTTGTGTGACCCTTCACTGGTGGGTCATGTCCAGCATTCTCCATGAGAGAGGTGTCAGCACCAGGAGACATTGGGCAAATTTGGGAGATATTTTGTTTGTCCCTGCTGAAGAAGTGGTCTGGGAAGGGGCCAGGATGGTGTAGAATGCTCCCTGTACTACTGTGCTCAGAATAATCCATCATGTCAGCAGTGCCACATTTGGAACCCTGTCCCACAGAACCACCAAAGCCTGCTTCTGTGACAGCTGAAGACAGAACAGCAGGTTTTCCTCCTCTGAGTGAGTGGTTTTCTTGTGTCCCACCTCATTTCCTCAAGAATATATGCGGTTGAAGAATAAATGCCTGTTCAGAATGTTCTTCTGATCTCAGGGACGCAGCTTTCAGTGTCCAGACTTGGGGGATCTTTTTAGGGTGTTAAAGTGCTCAGCACTGCTTCCCAACAGGAAGCCACTGAGGAGGTTCAAGAGGCCCCCTCACACCTTTAATGTAAAGTTTCAGTAGCATATATGGTAGACTTTTAGGCTTGCAACTATGTTTTTAAGAACCAGAAAAACCAGAGAAAAAGACCTAAAGGAAATAACCCCAGCATGGTGAACAGCTGAGCTAGTGTCAGGCTCTCTGAGGCCGAGTCCCATTACCCTGTGTGGTGGGGCTTCCTGGCTTCTCTTCCAAGAAGCTAAGACTATGCATCAGTGCTTGCCTGATTCTTTGCTCTGAGCACTTAAGAGGAGATGATGTTTTGTGTTTTTTTCCCTCTGAACAGGAATCCCCAGCACCAGCTCAGAAGACACCAGGATAGCCCAAACCCTGGGCCTGCCCTACTCCAACGTCATTGAAATTTCATCAGATGGCACAGAGAGACTGATCAGATCTGCTGAGGTTGGTGCCCCCGGCCTGTGCCTGAGAATTAACTTGTGAATCAAGACCCTGAGATTGGTGTGAAGACATGCTCTTACGGTCATAGCGCAGCCTGCCCCTTTACCCTCTCACCCCAGCAGCCTTGTAGCCTTGCTTGGCTTCTCAGAACAAAAAATGATTCTTCAACACCTAGAAGTTTCTTAGCTTGAAATCTAGTCCAACCCTAGAACAACTTCATTTGAGAAATTTTGCTTGAGCATGATATTTCCAAAAGAATCTTTAGCTTCTTGGAGAGGTGACTGGTGCTGACTCTTCTTCCTGGGGAAGATGATGCCCACTCCAGATTATCTGTTGTTCCCACCTAAAGTTTAACTCAATTACAGAAAGTTGTGAGTTGTGTTGGCTTAGTCAAGGTTATCTCTTGTTTGATTTGGTACATTTGGCAGGATGCGAACCCCACCAGTGCTGAACTGAACCAGAAAGTATGGTGGAAGAGGCAGTTTTGGGGTAGGAGGCTAAAGTGGGAGGTGGCCTAGGTGAGTCTCAGACTTGAGCATATAGATCAGCATCATGCTGGCCTTGTTAAAACACTGACTAGCAATACATATTCAGAGATCCTGACTCTTCCCAAGAGTTCTGTTTTCAGCAAATTTGCATAGTGCTGGTGCTGCTGCTGGTAGTGCTGATGGTCCAGGGACCACTGTTGAGAATCACTGGGTTTTTTTTTTTTTAGCCTTGCTGCTAAAAGTCTGGTTCCTAGATCAGTGACTCAGGCCCCAACCTTAACATGAGATCCCTGAGTGATTTGTATGCACATTAAAACTTGAGGGCACTGGCTTAGAGGGTCATTTTTAAACTTGGCTACACAGTGGAAACACTAGGAAAGTGTTTTCAGATATTGGTGCTTGACAGAAGAGCATGGTGGTGCATACCTATAATCCTAACATTTGGGAAGTAAGGCAGGAAGGTTAAGAGTTCATGTCTATCCTGGCTACATAGAGTTTGAAATCGGCCTAAGCTATGTGAGACACTGTCTCAAGAAACAAAACAAATAAAATAACAATCTGATGGTTGAGTCTCGACCCAGATATTTCAACCTAATGATCAATGATAGTGAGGACATGAGTAGTAGACATCAGGAGTAGTTATAGTTGCCCAGGAGATTTGAACATAAGCCCTAATCTGGGAACTGCTGGCTCAGCATGTTAGTCCCACACCTGGCCAATGATGAATCACTGGAGAAGCATCTACTGGTTGTCTCCCTGATTCTGGTTCTGGTTCTGTTATACCTAAAGATCCAAGTGTTTCAGGTTTGGGACCACTTAGCTATAAAGGTGTTCTGTATTTCTGTCTTCCTTTCTGTTTCTATCTGTCTGTCTGTCTTAGGGTTTCTATTGCTGTGAAGAGACACCATGACCACTGCAACTCTTATAAAGGAAAACATTTAATTGAGGTGGCAGCTTGCAGTTTCAGAGGTTCAGTCCATTATCATCATGGCAGAGAGCATGGCAGCCTGCATGCAGTCATGGTTCTGGCAACATCTTGATCAGAAGGCAACAGGAAGTACACTGTGACACTGAGCAAAACTTAAGCAAAAGAGACCTCAAAGCCTGTCTCCATAGTGATACACTTTCTCCAACAAGACCACACCTCCCAATAGTGCCACTCCCTATGAGCTTATGGGGGCCAATTATATTCAAACTACCACACTGTCTATCATTTTGTCTATCTATCTGTCTGTCTGTCTGTCTGTCTGTCATCTATCTATCATACATCTACAAGAGAATAATGACCAGCCTTCCCCTTTAAAAAGAGAGACAGTGCCTAACTTCATGTTTGTATCTCCAAACATAGATCATGTTCTAAGATATTAATGCCTTTTATTCTTGGCCCTCATTTATGCAGCCTACAGGAGGTACGGCAGAGCCAAGCCTGGGTGGTTACAAGGGATCCCCAGCTCTAGGAAGTGAGGAAGGGGATATCTGTGGCCCAAATGAGGCTGTCTCTCTGGGGCCCAGAGAGACCCCCATTCCTCTGGATGGGACCCTGAGCATTAGTTATCCTCTTTGTCTGCTTTCAGATAGCTATAGGTAGTCTTTGAGTCATCTCCTAGCTCTTTGCTGAATACTCAGCCAAATTCTGTCAACGAGGGATGGAGAAGGATGGTGGTGCAAAGCTGATTTCCTTCATGAACTTCTGGAGCAGAGCACAGTGGTACATGAAAAGATAAACTTTAAAGAGAGCATGTCATGCTTTGTATCACAACTACATGATGTCAATAGTACAGACTCGGGAATCTCTCCCCTAGAGCATAGCCACCGCTTTACAATAAACTCTTTGAGAAAACTCTTCCTATCAGCAGTAAGAGAGGTTACTTTGGTAAACATGGCTGGACTCTCTTTCCATGACATGTCTTGTGACCGTGAGCTCCTTAAGAACATGAGCAGATTACATTTATCTTTGTGTCTCTGATGCCTGGCATACGACAGGACTGATCCCAGGTGCCCACATTCTGAATATTAGTCTTATGGCTCACTTGATCCAATTAGTTTGGCCTCTGGAGAGCATCTGTGAAGAGAGAACTCTACCTTTGAACTAGTAATGTTCAGCTCGGTTGTCTATGAAACGGGAGTATTTAAATACAGAGAATGATTTGTCTCTTCAAGCTGAGGCAGTTAGGGCCCCTTGCTTGCCTTAAGATATAACACTGAATTTTTATTCTCTAAGAAGAAAGAGTCATTAAAATGCATATCGTACAGCTCTTCACTGGTAGTTAGACACTGATAGTGATTCTCTCTTCAGGTATTACAGGGCATGGCAGAATGGGAGGGCCACAGAACCAGGGCCAGCTGCCCACCACAGTGGGCACAGTGCCCATAGCCAACTTTGCTTCTCAAGGCTATTGGAAATATTTTAATATCTTCAAAATTTGGAGGTAGAGCTGGAGAAATGGCTCAACAGTTGAGAATACTGTTCTTCCAGGTGACTCAGGTTCAATACCCAGCACCCACATGGCAGCTCACAGCCATTTGTAACTCCAGTTCCAGGATCTATCACCCTTCTTCTGACCTCCATAGGCATCGGGCACAAATGTGATGCACAGACATACATGAAGATAAATACTGGAAGAACAGAAATGCATCCAGGGCTCAGGGGAGTCCTGATGTGGCTCTGCCCAGAACCAGACCCTTATGAGAGTCACGAATTGATGCAGTGGTTACAGGGTGCTGAGCAGGGGCAGAGATTTTCTTACAGTTGTCTCTCATCTCAGTTCACAGGTATGACCCGGCAGGATGCCTTTCTAGCCCTGACAGAGAAAGCCCGTAGGATGAGAGTGGGTGGAGACGTGACAAGTGATAAACTGAAAGACTGGCTGATCTCAAGGCAACGCTACTGGGGCACACCGATCCCCATTGTCCACTGCCCGTCCTGTGGCCCCGTGCCTGTGCCGCTGGAAGACTTGCCTGTGACTTTGCCCAGCATCACATCTTTCACTGGCAGAGGAGGCTCCCCACTGGCCTCAGCTTTGGAGTGGGTGAACTGTCCCTGCCCAAGGTGAGGAGCCAGAGCCAGCACCCTGAGGTATCTAGGACACCCTCCTCTCCCTGGGTGCTAAATGTTGCCTTCTTTATGGGCCTAAAGGGAATATCAAAGGTGTTTTGGAACCTTTGAGACAGCAGTCTAGAACCTGGCCCTGAAACACTGAGTCAATGGAGGGAAGACCATAGGTTTTCATTATATTGCACTGTCTGTCATTTCTATTCCACAGACCTTCCTCAAAGTAAGAAAGGGTGTTTCTCTCCTGCCGTGTTCCCAGTACAGAGCCTCTGATAGCCATGGAGGTCTTAGTACCAGTCATGGAGTACAGGAAAGACAGCCTCTGTGTTCATTCTTTACTTTGCTGAAATACACCAGCTTTCTTTCCTTTCTCCTCATTTTGAAGTAGGATTGGGTTTTTCTAAGATCAGTAGAGTTCTTCTAGTGTGATTTTTATGATGCTGTTATCAGCTGACTAAACAACAATAACAGACATCAAGCCATGTTTTTCCTCTTTCCCTTTGTAAAGGAGTGCTCACATTCAGTACAGCATTGCAGCCTTGTGTGGTAATATGGCTTCTTAATAGGACCACAGAATTTCTGAAGGGCAAAGCCCAGGCCTCAGAGTTGACCTCACTCTCTGAGTGAATTTGATGAGCACCCAGGGCTGTGAGCAACCAAGCAGGACAGCACAGAGATATAGACAGTAACCTTGGGACCAGCAGCTGAGGCTTCTTCATATATTTACTTTTGAGTTCTAAGGCCTTGGACCTGTTCCTTTGAAACCTCACTACTCTCCTGCACAGTAGGATTTGGGGTAGTCTGTCTCATAATTCCCTGGTGTTCTGGGAACCTGATGAGATAGCATCCGTGACACCTTTGGCCTAGTTCTACTGCACCCAGACCAACCTGGTGACCTTGTGCCCATCATCTGCCCAAGCGCCTCTTCCTTACCAATGTGGGCTTGGTATCAGTGATAACATCTAGTTGTCTTCAAGCCCAAGGAGACATTAATTGAAGTGAGCATCATGAGTGCCAGCCAGATGTGATTGCTTCTGCGTAGTGGGCCTCTTTTTTCCTTAGTGTTTTCTCAGGTTGGGCAAGGAAGAGAAGGTACCTTTCTCTTGCAGTTACTTCCCAAACTATTGTCTGTGGTCAAAAACAAGATTCAATCCAAATAAAGACCTGGGTTTACTTTAGAGAATCACTGTGGAGATTGGTACCCCTCTCTGGGGACACACAGGATTCCCTAGGAACTTCTCTGACAACTTCTGCCCTGAGGGACCCCACCATACCCAGGCCTCCTGTGCAGTTGAGGCCTGGTTTGATCATCTCACCTGAGGTGGGGGTAGGAGACCTGATTCCTTCTGTAATATTCATAAAGCCAATGTGGACTACTTAACAAATATGGGATGTAAAATGCAACCCTTCTTTTCATTTTTAAATTGAAAATAGACTCAAGCTCTTGTGTGCTTAGTGAATGGAAGGTTCCTCTGTTCCTCTTGGAGACTCCATCCCTCTTCTCCTAGCTCTCCTAGAATACTCTCACTCAAACTTATGCTGCTTGAAGTGAAATATTAGGAGGCCCAACACCTCAGAAGGACAGCTGGTGGGAAACTGCACTGAAATCTAGAAAAAAACCAATTGATAAATTTCTTTTCTCAGGTGCAAGAGATTAGCTAGGAGAGAGACGGACACCATGGACACCTTTGTGGACTCTGCATGGTACTACTTCAGATACACTGACCCTCACAACACTCATAGGTAATGTCCCTACTGTGTGACAGATAGCACTTTGCTTCCTCCACGAAGCAAAACCAAGATGGAATTAGATATGCAAGGGAGGTGCTAGGGACATGCCTGAGAGGATAGAGAGAGGAGCTGAGCTGGCAGAGAGAATACCCGCATCATATGTATGTAGAGCTGGTACCCAGAGACAGTAGAAGGTGTGGAGAATTCAGAGGAGCCCTGGACCACAGCAAAGTTCCAGATGCCCCAGTAAGTCCTGTGGAAAGAATGCCCAGTATACATGTCCATTTAGAACACAGGGTGGGCAGATGAGCCCTTGTACTGATGCCCTCCTTTTCTTCTCTTAGAAGTAACTGGATACCAAGGCTGGACCAGAGTAGTTTGTTCCATAGACACAGTGGTGGATATTGTTGGTCAGCTGTGCACCTCATGCCAGGCTCTTAGCTTGGGGAAACTTAGGGACAGAGCCTTTGCCTAGCATGGAAAAGCCTGGGGTTCCATCCCTAATAGCAGAGGTGAAGGCTTTTTAAAAGTATGTTAAGTTATTATTAATTTAGATTTCTTAGCCTAGTAAATTTCAACTATAATACAGATTGAAAAAACAGCTAAAGGAAGAAGATGTGAACAACCTGCACTTATGGGACTGGAGGGATGCCTGGTCATGGACTGCAGGAAGACAGGGCAAAGTATTGAGGAGAGCTAAACAGCTTAGACTCTTACCATACATGATCAATAAATCTCCTGAATTAGAAATCAATAACAAATACAAACATTTTTAAATAATTAAAGTAAAAGTAGAACCCAAAAGTGTTGGCACATGTGTATAATCCCAGAAATCAGGAGGCAGGAACAAGGAAACCAAGAATTCAGAGCCAGCCAGGGCTTCACAAGACCCTTTGTCAAAAAAAAAAAAAAAAAAAAAAAAAGTGACTAGATTGGCCAGATGTGGTGATGTCTGTAGGAGGAAGTTTCTGTCCCATCAAAAGCTCCCAAACAACCACACCAAGGCTTATATTAATTGGAAATGCTCGGCCAATAGCTCAGGCTTAGTACTAGCTAACTTTTTTTTTTTCTGAGACAGGATTTCTTCATGTAGTTTTGGTGCCTGTCCTGGATCTCACTCTGTAGACCAGGCTGGCCTTGAACTCACAGAGATCTGCCTGGCTCTGCCTCCTGAGTGCTGGGATTAAAGGTGTGTGCCACCACCACCCAGCTACTAGCTAACTCTTACATTAATGTTAACTTGTATCTCTTACCTATGCCACATGGGTTGGTACCTTTTCTCAGTATGCCCACCTTGCTTCTCTCTGTGTCTACTGGTGACTCCTCTCACTCTTCCCTTCTTCCTCCCAGCATTCTCAGTTTGGCTCTCCTACCTAACCTTACCCTGTTCAGCTATTGGCCAGTCAACTTCTTTATTAAACCAATCTCCTGTGAGTATCTGTATGCTATGAGTGTGTTGCTCTGATTGGTTAATAAATAAAACACTGATTGGCCAGTAGCCAGGCAGTAAGTATAGGCAGGACAAAGAGAGAGGAAAATTCTGGGAAGTGGAAGGCTGAGTCAGGAGACGCCATGAGAAGTATGATGTAAAGTACCAGTAAGCCACAAGCCACATTTCAAGGTATAGATTTATAGAAATGGGTTGATTTAAGATATAAGAACTAAATAGCAAGAAGCCTGAGCCATTAGGCCAAACAGTTTAAATAATGTAAGCGTCTGTGCGTTTATTTGGGTCTGAGTGGCTGCAGGCCTGGAGATAACTCCAGCTACACCAGTCACAGTAACATATATTCATACAGTGTAAAGGAATATTCTACAGATATCTTTAATCCCAGTACTTAGGAGACAGACAGATGGGTATGTATGAGTTCAAGGTCATTTGTTCTACATAGTGAGTTCCAGGCCTCTATCTAGTACAGAGTGAGACCATGACTTTAAATTAAAAAGTGCCAAGTTTCAGGCCTGGGGTTCAGGGAGAACTGAGACTAAGACCACTCTTTTTCGTGATGTACTTTCAAGTGCTGTTCGATTTTTCAGCTCTGTTTGTTTCTTTGACGAGGCAGAAACAAAGAAAAAAGAGCAGTAAGTAACCAAGCAGAGCTGGAATGGGAGCTAACGGGAGCTAACGGAAACTGTTCCAGAACCAGGAAAACCTTGACAGGTTGCTCTTGAGCATGGTAGAAATGTCCTGGAACTGTATTGTCCACATATGAAGGGCTTCCATTCTGGACGTGGTGATACATGCCTGTAGTTCCAGCACCGGAGGTTGAGGCAGGGTGGTGTAAGGGGATCTTGTTCTACAGAATGGCATCTTATGTTGAAAATAGGCAAAGAAAGTACTCCCTATCCTAGACTAGCAGCAGAGTGGCATATTTCTGTTTAAACAAATGCTCAAGCTACATTCTGAATAGCAGAGTTATGGCTCCATGATTTGTGTTCATTTCAGAAATGAGTGGGATCCTGAGTAAGTGGAAGGATACAAGGAGACCGGGAACTTCAAAGCAGCTCTGCGTGAGCCATAGAGGAATGTGAAGGAGGCTTTGCCTTTCCTGGCTGCTTCCCAGCTGTCCTGAGCCCTGCATGGCTCCTCTGTGAACAGCACAGGGATTCACACCTCTCCTGGCATGCTGTGCCTAGATTCAGCAGAGAGGTGTCCTAGGTAGAACGTAAACTGAACACTTAACCTCATTTATCCCAAACTTGTTTGTTAGATAAATACCAAACTTAACTTTGGCTTTATTATTGTGTGAAACATCAAGTTAAATTTATTTACTTACTTTTAATTTTTTTAATTTGAGACAGGACTTCACTGTGTAGCCTTGAATGTCCTGGAACTTAGCATGTAGACCAGGCTGGTCTTCAATTTGGAGATCAGCCTGCCTCTATTTTTCAAGTTTTGGGGTTAAAGGTCTATGCCCAGCAGTGTTGAATTTCTTTAAGAAACCATTGTAATTGGAGGTTTATTTGTTTGTTTGTTTGGTGATTTGGGTGGCTTTGTTTTGCTTTTTTTCTTATTTTTAATTTTATGAGATGCTGGCACAGTATTAACTGCAAAAGCGCCCTGTGCTGACCTGCCACCTGCAGTCTCTGTCCAGTCTCAGAACTAGCCAGCCAAGAGCATGCTAGGGGAAAAATACTTTGCGGCACTGAGGAGAAAACTCTGAAATTTTGAAACCAGGGATCACAGATCCTCCAAAGCAAAAGTTCCTGATAAGTATTGGATCTCTGGTTATTGCCAATGCAGTAAGCCAGTGAAATAAGCCAAATCAAACCAAATTAATAAGACCAGATTTAATAAACAGAGCAAAGCAATTCTCAGATGACTCTTGGAAAGGCAGGAGAGAAATCACGTGGCAGGGCTGGCGACCAGGTCTTAAATACCAGGTCTTAAATACTCAAGTCATGGTCTTGAGCATCCCCCAGGGAGGAGCTGACCCTTGGCAGGCTTTCTGAGGGGTGGGGTCTGGAATGGGAGGAGTGAGACCAGAGTGGAGATTCCCAACAGTTCCCTTGGTTGACTTAACAAAGGGTTGCCTTGGGAACAGAGAGGTCTGTTCCCAGCCACAATGTTCCCAAGGCAGCAGCCAGCAAATAGAAGACCTGGAGAGTCCTTCCCCTCTGTGTACATTAGGAGTAGGAAGAAGCTTGACCTTTGGTAAAACCCTGTTGGTCAAGAAGTAGTAGATGAGGAAGTGACTGGAATATTTTGACAGGCCCCATATTAGTTTCATTCCTTCAGTGAACTGTATTTGAACTCTTGCTGCCCATTTCAAAGCACTTTTAAAAATAAGACTGAATTTCTGTTTTAGAATGAGCATTTACTACCATGCTTTCTATTATAAATGCTACTATTGCCCTCTATTGGTGAGAATTAAAATTTCTATTGTCTAGTCATAATAAAAATTAAAGCTAACTATTCACATAAGCATCCCTTGGAGATGTCTTGTTGCCGGTATCTTTTTCTTTTGTTCTTGTTTTATTACAAAAATTACTGGTTTGGTTTTTGTTTGTTTGTTTGTTTGTTGGGTTGGTTTTGTTTTTTGGTTTTTTTGAGACAGGGTTTCTCTGAATAGCGCTGGCTGTCCTGGAACTCACTGTGTAGACCAGGCTGGCCTTGAACTCAGAGATCCGACTGCCTCTGCCTCTGAGTACTGGGATTAAAGGTATGCACCACCATCATTACTACCGGCTCAAAAATTACATCTTTATTACATTTATTTATTGTGTGTGTGAATGTGCATGTGCCACGAGCCATGCATAGAGGTAAGTGGATGACTCGTAGATCCAGTCAACACTGGTTCTTTTCTCACTTATTGTATATGTTTTTCTCTTATTAAAAGAAAGCCACTGTTTTTTCTGACATTAATTCTTTTCAAGGCATATGCAGATTACAGTAGGTCTAGTTTATGCAGTGTGGCAGATAAGGTTTTTAGATGCCCATTTATTTTTCTCCTAGTCCTTTCAGCCCAGCACTGGCAGACTTCTGGATGCCCGTGGATTTGTACATCGGAGGAAAAGAGCATGCTGTCATGCACTTGTTCTATGCAAGATTTTTTAGTCATTTTTGCCATGACCAAAAGATGGTAAAGCACAGGTGAGCATTTCTGTTTTTTTTTAACGTTCTTTTAAATTATTCTTTGTGTCTTTCACATCATGCATCTTGATCCTATTCATGTCCTGTCCTGTGTATCCGCCCTCTGCCCTTGCAGTCCCCCTCCCCAATAAAATTTAAGAGAAAAAAAGAAAAGAAAAAAAGAAAAAAAAAAATCTCGCCATGGAAGCTGTAGTTTGACACAGTGAGTAAATGCAGTAAACCCTTTTGTCCATATATCTTTACTTGTAAATGTTCATTGCAAAGATTCATTGGTTGGTTAGAGGCCTCTGGTTTCTGCTACACTATTGATGCTGTGCCCTCACTGGAACTCCTCTTGGCTGTCCTGCTGGTGTCCTGTGTTGTGGAGATCCTGGAGCTTTGGGTATGCCGGACCGGTCCCTTCACATACTCCAGCAGATCACAGATGGGGTGAACAATGGGGTGGGCCAACCTATAACCCTGGTTCTGGGCCTGATAGCGGCAGGGTTGGTCAGCCTGTCAGCTCTCCCTTGTCCTCACCACCAGGGTGAGCTCTCCTGCATTGCCCTGGCATGTTCAGCCCTTGCAGTGATAAGTGAGGGGTGGGGCAGTTCTCCTGCCTTCATGCCCTTAGGGTCAGCTCTCCCACACCTACATCAGCAGAGCCAGCCTTACTGTGCTGTCCAGAGTAGGGGCCATTGTCCCGAATGCTGGGAGCAGATGAGGGGCAGGGCTAGCTCCTGCTCTTAGGACCTCAGGACCAGCTCTCCCAACTGCCTCGGGTTGATGGGGGGTATGGGAAGGAGAGGACAGGGACATCTCTCTCCTGCCCATGCCACCACATAACAGATGAATAATGGGACAGCTCTTCTGTGCTTACAGTATTGGCACTGGCTTGCCCACACCTCTGCCAATGGGGTTGGCTCTGTTGTGCTGCCCACGCAAGGTGCAGGGCCTGCACAAGTAAACGTTTGTAATACTTTGCAAAAGAATTCTGTTTACAAGCAGTGACTGGAAACAGGTATCTGTTCTGAATCAAAGTAAATCTGTGTGTAAAAATAATTCTGCTTTTCAGATATACTTTAGAAGCCATCGTAGGCCTTTACAATGTAAGGTCATTTATACAACAAACCTCTTAATCATTTGTGTTAGGTTTCAAATCTGAGACAAATGGCTGACGTGCCTCTTTAACATATCAAAGTAGACCTTGCTGCTATGTTCTTCCTGCCTTCCCTCAGTCCCTGCCTGTTACAGAGCCCTCCTGACTGGCATACCACCCCACCCCCACCACCCCACCCCACACACTCCTCAGCCCAGGGAGCTGGGCTGCTCTTCCCTATATAATCTGACCATTTTGGTTACCCACTCTTTTTTGTACCTTTGGGCCTCCTAGCTCCTGCATCTGGTTTACTCCCCCCCACCCCCACCCCCATGGGGCAACTCAGTCTGGTAATGTCTACTCTGGACTCTCACAAATGTCTCTGCCCCTGGCTGTGCTCTCCCACCTGTCTATAACAAACTTTCTCCTCCACCATACCAGGAACAGTCATGTTCCTTTCCTTTTTTTATTTCCTTTTTTCATTCAGTTTGGTGTGGAATGTTTTGGGCTTACATGAAATCCAGCTTTCAGTGCATCTGATTTTTGCTTGTGAATGAAAGAGGAGTGTTGTGATGTTATGTGGCTTTTTGTAGTAACTCACACATTTGTCACTCCATAAATTGTGCTTCTAAGCTTGGCTGAATCCTTCTTTTATGTCGCTCTGATACTTGTGTATCAGAGCAGAGGTTAGCATTGTAAATCCGTTGATTTTTTTTCCTGTTGGCCTATAATGTTCCTCGTAACATTCAAAAGATGTGTGAAAGGGTGGCATACTTTTGTAGTCCTAGAACTCAGGGGGCAAAGGCAGGAGGATGGCTACGAGCTTGAGGCTGGCCAAGGCTGTATAGTAAATTTTAGGTCATATAGAGAAACTATCTCAAAGATATATGTGCATGCTTTTCCTTCATGGAATATGTTTAATATATTATTACAATACATTTGGGAATCTGAAGCAAGAAGATCATGATTTGAAGCCAGCTTGGCCTACATAGAAAGACCCCTTCTCTAAGAACCAAAAAAATAAAAAGTAAAATGGAAATCCATGCTTCCAAGGTCAATATGGGAAGTAAAATGTTATATTACTGATATACCAAGGTGTACACAAGATGCCCCTTCCCAGTCACATCACCCCTTTCCCACCACCCCTCCCCCAGATAACTCCTGTAGAACATTTTTGATTACTTATTTTCTTTACACATGTATCACTTCTGACATTATTGCATTATTATTATTATTATTGTTGTTGTTGTTGTTGTTGTTGTATGTATGTATGTATGATTGTGGGGGGTGGTGCTTGTGTCACAGCATGCATGCAGAGGTCAAATGACAACTCTGTGGAATCAGTTCTCTCTTTCCATCTTTAGGTCATGAGGCTTGTATGAGAAGCACCTTTATCTACAGAGACATCCCACTGCCCAATTCTACTTCTCTGTGTGTTTTAAAACAACATACATGGTTTGGCTTTTCTGCATTTGACCCTTCAGTGATTAGAATTATATTACACATATTCTATAATACTTTCCTCACCCAACATGTTTTGAGGTTCAGCATGGTTAATACATGGAACTACCTTTTTGTTTCATTGCTGAGTGGCATTCCATTGTATGGACTGGAATTTCCATTGCAGAACTTGGGTGATATAGCCATGGCTGCACAGTAGCTCTCCACCTTTGAAAATTTTTCATGTAATCCTTTTTTGTTGTATATATTGCAAATATTTCCTTATTCTTGTCTTATCTTTTACTTATGGCATCTTTCAATGAGCAGAAATCCTTAATCTAATATAATAAAACTTAATACTTGGGGTTGAAGATGGGGTTCAGTGGTAGAGTACTTGCTTAGTATGTACTTGACCCTGGATTCAATCCCCAACACCACAATAAAATAAAATAAAAATTAATCTTCCCCTTGTGACTATTGCTTCTCATACCTCCGTTCCATCATTGAGCAACTTGGACCTCTTTCCACTGATCTTTGGTGTCTTCACCATAAGTCAGTGTATTACATCCACTAGGGTCTGCTGGTGGGATCGCTATTCATCTACTGGTGGCTTGCTGTAAGTTGTCACGTTCCCTAGATAGAGATCCCTAGCCTGGTGATAGACTCTCTACTCCATACATTAGTGGCTTGCTCTCTGTTGTGCTGGTTAGTTATTTACAGCCTTTGTTATTTTAATATACAAATCTTGATGTCCTTTGAGGAAAGTCCTCTTCTTTTTCCTTCTTCTTCAAGAGAATTTGGCTTTTATCACACCCTTGTTTTTCTTTATCAGTTTTGGACTCAGCCTGTCAAATTTCAGGGCTGGGCATGTTTTTTTTGGTATTGCACTGGAACTGTGTTTGCCAGTGCCTTTCCTCACCATCCCTCCTGCCATCTCTAATCTTAACATCTGAAATAATCTTTTTGTCTGAAATGTATCCTTCAGTTTGTCTTTTTGTTTCCTTTATTAATGGTCCATGTATTTGTTCTTTTCTCTAAAAGTTCATTTCAACTTTATATTTTCAAATATCTTTTTACTTATCATACTGAATATTAAACTCAGAGCTTCATGTGCACTAAACATTGAACTATAATGAGCTCCTTTTTCAGCCCTAAACATCATCTATAGAGGATTCCTCCTTAACACAGGGCTCTGAGCTAGCACTAGCCCTCAGCCTCAGCTGATTTTCCTTGTTGCAATGGGCCAGGTGTGGTGGTGCATGCCTATAATCCCAGCACACTGAAAGCAGAAGCAGGTGGATTTCTGTGAATTTGAGGCCAGCCTGGTCTATATAGTGAGTTCTAACCCAGCCAGGGTTACATAGTAAGATGGGAGTCTGGTCTACAAACGTTCATGGTTCCCTTTGAGTGACATCTCTCTGTTTGCTATGAACACACCCTCATTGTCTTTGGCATTTTGAAGTTCATTTGCTTTCTATAGGTGTGGACTTCTTTATTCTGATTTGGATTTGGGACTTCTTAATGGTCTCTTCTTCATCCCATCTGTAATGATTTAAGTGGTGGAAGACATCTTGGCAATTGAACCCAAGGAACACCACAAAGTCACACCATGCAACAAATCTCATGTGAGAGGTTTATTGGCGGGGGTGGGAGTATGTAGAGGCTGCCTCTGAGCGAAGGTGGAAGGGAAAGAGGGTGGGGAGAGAAGGCACTTGCTTTTTATAAGGGGATATAGTACATGTCCATAGGGAGGATATGTGACAGGAATGTGTCTCTGTTAGGACATTAATTTACATTCTCCTGTGCATGCTGCTAGCAGGATGATCCCAGGCCATCCTATTGAATACTCATTAGCAGTGTACATCTCCCTTCCCGTCCCCCACCTTCCATCGTTTCCTGGGCTTTTGTTTCTTTTCATATTCCAAAACAAAAAATATTTTGCTTATCCGCCCCTTATGTGTGTGTCCTTTGTTTGTTTGTTTGTTTGTTTTTGTTTTTCAAGACAGGGTTCTCCATGTAGTTTTGGTACCTGTCCTAGATCTCGCTTTGTAGACCAGGCTGGCCTTGAACTCCCAGAGATCGACCTGGCTCTGCCTCCTCAGCGCTGGGATTAAAGGCATGTGCCACTGCCGCCTGGCTTATATGTGTGTTTTAATGGTCTGTTTTTGGGGGGAGGAGAAAGGTTGGCTATGTTTAAACTTACTGTGTGATAGAAGATGACCTTGAACTAATCCTCTTGCCTCCATCTCTCAAGTGCTGGGATTACAGGCATGTACCACTGGGCCCAGCTTGGCTACTCATTTATAAATATTACATATATTACATGTGTCTTTTGCTTTTTTGATTTAATGGAATATTTTGATGTTTTTCCCCATCAGAGCATACATATTTCCCATTCTTTTTTATTTCTGTATAGTGTATCAATTATTAAAGCACTCACTTATTTTTCTAATTTATTATTTTTTAAAAGAGTGATGCTTTA